CCGGAAAAGTGTTGAAGGAATGTGCTGATCAGCTCTGTGAGGTGCTGGCAGACATCTTTAACACCTCACTTACCCTGGAGACAGTTCCCACCTGCCTGAAGACTGCCACCATCATCCCAGTCCCAAAAAGCTCTACAGTGACTGGTCTGAATGACTATCGGCCAGTGGCCCTCACCCCGATAGTCGCTAAATGCTTCGAAAAACTGGTCATGACTCACATCAAAACAACCATCAACATCAACGAGGACCCTCATCAGTACGCATACCGTGAGAACCGATCAACAGAGGATGCAATCTCCTCTGTGGTCCACACTGCACTCAACCACCTGGAGCAGAAAAACTCTTACGTCCGTATGCTCTTTGTGGACTTCACATCCGCCTTCAACACCATGATCCCCCAAACCCTGATGGACAAACTATCCACACTAGGACTAAGCCCCTCCATCTGCAACTGGGTACTAGACTTTTTAACAAACAGACCACAGTTAGTGAGGATCCACAACCTCTCCTCCTCCACCATAACCCTCAGCACTGGCTCTCCTCAGGGATGTGTGTTGAGTCCCCTCCTGTTTACTCTGCTCACGTATGATTGTGCAGCTACCCATCCAGGCTGTCACATTGTAAAGTTTGCAGATGATACAGCGGTGGTGGGATGCATCACAAACAATGATGAGTCCAGCTACAGGCAAGAGGTGGAACACCTGGAGAGCTGGTGCAAAGAGAATAACCTTCACATCAATGTGAAGAAGACAAAGGAGATGATTGTGGACTTCAGAAGGAACAAAAACATCTACACCCCCCTGAACATAAGAGGATCTGCGGTGGAAGTGGTCTCCAGCTACAAGTACTTGGGTGTACACATGAACAACAACCTCAGCTGGAGCAACAACACCACCAGCCTGATGAAGAAAGCTCATCAGAGACTCTACTTCCTCAGACGGCTGAGGCGAGCTGGTCTGGAAGCTCAGTCCTCACCTCCTTCTACAGGTGTGCAGTGGAGAGCATCCTGTGCTCGAGCATCAATGTGTGGCATGGAGGCTGCACAGCTGCAGAAAGAAAAGCTTTGCAGAGAGTGGTGAAGGCTGCACAGAAGATGTTGGAGTCAGTCTCCCCACCATCACAGACATCTACATCTCCAGATGCAGGAAGAGGGCCACCTGCATCATGAAGGACCACACTCACCCAGCACACACACTTTTTGCCCCACTCCCCTCAGGAAGGAGGTTGAAGAGCATTAAGTGTAGAACCACTAGACTGAGGAACAGCTTCTACCCTGAGGCTGTTAGACTCATGAATCTCTAACTAGAATAATCACTGTGAAAAATCACATCATGTTGCTGCTGATCTGTTTCATGTTGCTGCTGATCTGTTTCATGCTGCTGCTGATCTGTTTCATGTTGCTGCTGATCTGTTTCATGTTGCTGCTGATCTGTTTCATGTTGCTGCTGATCTGTTTCATGCTGCTGCTCATCTGTTTCATGTTGCTGCTGATCTGTTTCATGTTGCTGCTGATCTGTTTCAATGTTGATGTGTTCATGCGTGCACATCTGCTCACAGACTCATGTTCATGTTTGTGCTGATGTTCAATGTTTTATGTTATGAGTGCTTAGTGTATATTTAGTTGATGTTTTTCTTAGTTCATATCTTAGATGTTATTACTGTTTTTCTTATACATTTTATTGTTGGATGTAACTGGGACCCTGTGTACATAATTTCGCTCCACCACATGTACCACATGAGGTGCGAATGACAATAAAGAAACTCTGACTCTGACTCTGACTAAGCACCTTTGTTGAAAGTGATTACAGTGATGTCGGTTTTTAATCCTTTATTTGACAAATATCACTTTTTTATTCACAGTTTTCACTCCAAAACTTGCATAGAATTGTTTTATTATTAAAAGTTGTTTTGAGGCAAACATTTAGAGGGAGTGGTGGCGCAGAGGTTAGAGAAGGTGGAACTGTGCTCAGAAGATCGCCGGTTCAACTTCCGGTTCCGACATCAAAAAGTGTGGGTGGGATAGGTGAAGCACCCACACCTGCCTCCACCTTCATTTGCCCCCCTCTGGACCCTTGAGCAAGGCCCCTAACCCCCACCACCTGCTCCCAAACAGGTCTCTCTTGAAAAGGAGTCCTTGTGCCTCAGCCAGACTTCCTGTATTAATAAAGTTTAAATGAACAGTTGTAAACGTGTCCCCAGCTTTTAAAATGTATCAAAAACATGAAACATCTCAGATTTATATCGTCTGCAACAAGTTAACGTGAAGGACAAAAACCTTCTTTCCCCGGTGTTTGCCTCAAAACTTCTTCTTTCAGCTGCTCCCTGAACTAACGTGCACGGAAACGTGCTGATTGTTTTTACACCAGTTGTCCTTCCTGACACAACCAGACCACCGAGCTACCACAGCCTCTGTGTGGAGCAGAGAGCTGCCACCTAGGGCGCCCGGGGGAGCAGATCGGGGGTTAAGGGCCTTGCTCAAGGGTCCGGAGGGGGGCAAATGAGGGTGGGGGCAGGTGTGGGTGCTTCACCTATCCCACCCACACTTTGATGTTGTCGGTCCAGGGAGTCGAACCGGTGACCCTCCAATCACAGGCTCACCTTCTCTAACCTCTGCGCCACCACTCCTCGTGAACCATAACATCACCTCCATGAACAGGACAGCAGTGGTCTCAACTAAACAAAATAAAAATTAAAAAACTGTCACCTGACATTCAAACCCCAGGTCCAATCTGTGTGTGTGTGTGTGTGTGTGTGGGGGGGGGGGGGGGGGTCTGTGGAAAGCCTCGCCCACACAGCCCACCCCATCAACACTTCCTAAAAGATGTAATGTTTCTGCACCAGACACCCCCCGCCCACACACACACACACACACGCACACGCACACACACACACACACACACACACACACATGTTCTTTGTCGACGCGCGTAGTGGTCACTTCATGTTTGGAAATAAAATGATAAATTTGTCATTTTACTGAAATCTTTAACGAGTTTGATTTTGTGATTGAAAACGACACGTTGTGTCTTTGAAAACATTTCAAACCACATCGTTCTTTGTTTCTGACCTTCTTAGCAGCAAAGTCCCGTCAGGTTTATCTCATGAACCAACAGAGCAAACATCTAAATGCAGCAACAGCTTCAAAACCATATTTGTAGTTTGTTGTTGTTGTTGTTGTTGTTGTTGTTGTTGTTGTTGTTGTTTGCAGTTTGAGCCTTCGAGGGTCCGGCTGCTTGTGGCTGAACTCTGGCCAGAAGGCATCTGTTACTCAACAACATCTGTTCCTGTTACTCTCTTTCTCCCAGCATGCCGAGGGACACAGCCTCTCCCAAGGGTGGTCTTTTGTGCGCTCCATTGTCAATTCCATCATTGTGCTGAAGTCTGTCGCTCAGTGCGGAGCGGCTGTAAAGCTGTGCTGCAGGCTCAGGTTTACAGCCGCTCACGTCCAAACACAGTTGGCGTCAACGTGCAGCAATTAAAAAGAAAAACTGAGAAAGTGAAAGGAGGTTGTGGAGCACAGAAAATGTAGATGTGAAGAAGTACTTTTGTTTTTTTACTTTCAGATTTTAAAGAAAGCGGTAAAGCTTTGTTGCTGAGCAAAGGAAAGGTCTTAAATTTCAGCAGTGATGGAGCCATTCATGGTGTTTTTGGTGCACACAGGAAGTGTGGAAAGCCAAAACCACGAGGGGGTGTCCAGAAGATGCTTGACGTAGATCTGGTGTTTAGAGCCATGAATTACCTGACCTGTTCACGGAGGAGGAATAGGAGTGGGAAATCTAGTGCAGGGAGATCGTTTTTATGAAGAGGCCCCAGTTCCTGTCTCCATGGAGACACTTCCAGCTCCTGGCATAGACTAGAGCCTGGAAAAGCCCACCATGGGGTCTCCAGGAGAAGACAACAGATGTTACTGATTAACTCAGAGCCCTAAAGAAGTGTTTGTTGGTGCGCTGGAACCAAACTCAAGATGCTTTTAGAATATGTTTAACAATATTTATTTGGAAAAATAGTTATTTCATTGACAAATGGGGAAAAAAATACACAAAAAACTGTAACATCATTCCTTTTAAATAACATTTTCTTAAAAAAAATTCCCATGGACATGAAGTGCCTTTGCAAATATCCTTAATAAAAATAAAAAGTTAAATAATCATCATGGACATCACAAATATACATTACAAAATTAAAACAACACAAAGTTCTTAAATTAACATAAATTAAATCATAATTATAAATCATAATATTTTTCTTTTTTTGTTGTTGTTTTTGTATTTATTTTACAAAAATGACAATCTGTATGAAAAAGCAAGATAAGTTTTTAATATAAACAAGCTATCGTGTCCCAAACGAGAAGGAAAGAAATGAACAATACAATGTCATAAATGGTTTGGAGAACTTAAGGAAGAAACGCACTTCAGTTAACACCGTGATCAAGTATACATACAGTCCTCACCGGCGCAGCGACGGCTGCACAGCCCACGGGTGCACAGCCCACGGGTGCACAGCCCAC